GCTGTCTCGTCATACGAAACACAACTCCATACTCTACATAGTGCCTCTAATCACAGTCCCTCAACACGTCAGGGACTGTGCTCTAATTTATACTCAATGCTCTTCTTGTAGCTACGGAAGACTATTCAAGTAAAATAATTGGACATTGGTCGGGGTATCAAGGGGTGAGGGTCAGGATTCTTTGAAAAAAAATGCTCAAGGTAATGTATGTTATAATATTTTTAACAAAACTCCAAAATTCCTGTCCATGCGGTTATTGGCGACATTTATTTGATGTTTTGTTTTTTCAGAATTTAGACTGATGGGTTGCTGTGTACTTTTTTTCAATTATTTTGTAAGAATATTGCGCATCAACGGTAGAGATAAAACCACTTGCGTGCGTGCGTTCGTGGAGCAATTGTTGAGTTGACTCTACCACGAATATAGCACACTGGCGACTAATTGGCACGAAGCCAAGCTGAATATTCCGCCACTTTGAAGATCACATGTCACGAAATAAGTCATAAAAATAGACAACCACCTATTGTCAGGCAGCAAAACACAACGAAACGTTCAGTGCACCCATGCCATATCGGCGTACTGCACTATGTCGCTGAGTGGAAAGGTATATCTGGTGACTGGATCTACCGATGGCATCGGAAAGGAGACGGCTTATCGACTGGCCGCCGAAGACGCCACTGTGTTGATACATGGTAGGAGTCTGTACAAGGGACAGAGAGTTGCGAACAGGTTGAAATCTAAATTTAAAAACTCAATTATTGATTTGTTCATCGCCGATTTGTCGTCGTTTCAGCAAATTCGGGATCTTTCGCGGGCGATCCATGACAAGTACGACTGCATCGACGTTATCGTCCACAATGCCGGTGTCTTTGAAGAAAAACGGAAAGAGAGCGAAGACGGATACGAACTGACGTTCGCTGTCAACGTGCTAGCACCGTTTCTTCTGACGTACCTGTTGATAGACATTGTACCTAAACACAGTAACGGCCGTATTGTCGTCGTTAGCTGCATGTCGCACTCGGACTCCATCGATTTACAAGACTTGCAATTAGAAAAATGCTACGATGGGATAACCGCTTATGAATTATCAAAACTTTGTGCTATAATGATGACGTACGAAATGGCCGAACGACTTCGAAAACTCGGGATTACGACCAACACTCTTGATCCAGGCCTTGTTGACACGTCGCTCTTGCACGCGGGCTGGCCGGAGTTTCACGGCATGCCCGCCGAGGAAGCCGACAGCGGCTTCTTTTTGGCAACCGACAAACAATTTATAGACGTCACTGGCAAGTATTTTGTCCGTAACAGGGAGAGTGGATCGGCTGAAATATCATACGACCAGACAAAGCGGGAGAAACTGTGGCAGAAGTTGGAAGATTTTACCGATATCTCATTCTCCGACGTGATCTCGCCAACACATGTGATCGCGACGCGTGCAGATTTCCTCGACTAGTGATTACTCTAAAAGAACTAAATCCCGACTTAACATACGACTGGAATGTAGAACTGAAAAGAAAATAATTATTGCCGTGACGTGAAGCTTGTCCGGACAGGTTTTATGACATCCACCGATCTGGATATACCTTGATTTTCTGCGTCAAGGCCTTGTCTGAACTTTCCGGTCTTGAGCACAAAAAATGGAGTGTTCATTATTCAACGCTGAAAGCGAGTCACACCAACACGTCTCCCGGTTAAGTCTAGTTGCCCCTGGATACCAATATGACTCTTATTTTATTATGCTTTTTAAACAATAATCATTGTTGGTGGTGACTGGTCCGGTCGCGTTGTGATCACCGAAAACGGGGCAAGCCTCATCCTCAAAGCGTTCAACGAAATAATTGACCGCTAAATTACGGTGACTATAACGACAATTATCAGCAAGGGTAATTTTGCGCTGGAGTGAAGAGCTATTGTTCAGTAGTTGTCTAATTTACAACAAGAGAAGGAGCTTCGCGCATTGAGATCATTCATGTCAAGTGCTTCTTTTTTAAGCATTTAAAAAAATATATTTTTGTTTTATCTTACCAGCCCAGTTTTTAAATGTGAGCAAATACCAAAATAATTACGTTTATTCTAGTAAATGACATTAAAAATAAAGTTAGACGAAGGAACCTTTCTTCGCCAAACGAATTCTAATGAATACACTGTTCTAGCGCTATGAAAATGATTGTCAGTTAAACTAACAGACCGTGATCGCCAGTCTGAGAATGTTTTTATTGTTCACGCTGCACACCTGCAGACACGTGTAGCAGTGGACGATGTCTGCTCGCCCAGTGATTGCTTCGTGCGGGCCGGTACGCCAAACTAGCTGCTATGGTGATACAACTCGGCGCTGGATGGACGCACGTTGACACCACGACTGCCAGGTACAAGTCACGTAACAATATAGTGAGTGGGTTAACCTAAATGTCAACATATCCCGGTTGTTAGTACTGAAACCACCTGCAGTACTCAGTGTCCAACAGCATAATGACAGCCGCCCAGATTATTATACCATACATGCACAAGCACCGATCTTAAGTAGGCAAACACATACCTCTTTTATCAAATTTGAGTTGCACATTACTGTGTGCTGTTTTTTATGTCTTGCCAACACACCGTCTGAAGTGAAGCGCAGTTACTACGTCGCCCACACTTCGCTTTCACCTAAAATTTCGACAGATTGAAACTACGGATAATAAACTTCCGAATTTCACAACTGTTGCAATAATGGATTTAATTAAACTACTATATGGCATGCAAGTTCGCATTATCCAACTACAACGTTTGTCTAATATTATACTGAATATTGTCGATGACATAAGGGGTATTGCATGTGGCAATGCGACTCCCTAACCTAGGGATCCTGAAAAACATGCCGGCTTTATTTTATGTGCAGACTAATCATGATACAAAACGTGAATTTCATACGTAACCGACTCTGCAGTAAGCTCCGAGTGACACAGTATGTGTATTGTACGTGCACGTGATATTAAACCACACCGTGGACTAAATCGAACATTTTTTGTTTAGTTATTTCATTTTGTCGGGTTGAAAATATTTACATTTTATTATTTCAGGGATTTGGGGCATTGTCAATTCACCTGTACTGTACCATTTGACGATTACAGATGTGTAATAAATTTTACCCCGATTACAAGACTGCCGTTCCACTGGTTACCCGCTCTCCACATACGTTTGGAATGTGTAAAATTAGCATATTCAGATTAGAAGCGTTACGCATCTAGTTGATCAGCCAATCAACGTCGCGGTCACAGGCGAAATCTTAACCGTCTCTCTAGACACTGTGTATGGAAAACGGATAACTAGTAAAATAAGTGTTGGATACCCAAGCTGAATCAAAATAAAATTAACTTGATAAAACACACTGACGTATTCGATAAACCATCTCTCAATTGATATCTAAAACGCAAATAGTTTTTACACATCAAGTCCGACCAATTACACAAATGTCGATTCACACCCTAAGCCATCAAACTATATGGTCAGACGTACCCGGATGAAAGGCAATACCTGTTAATCAATGTCACACCCCTTTTCTTTCTTTGGGTATTTATTGGATTTTAACTATAATCACATGGACAGTAAATGACACGGAGAGTATGGTAAGATTTATTGCTCGGTGATCGTTTCTATGGCACACCATGGAAATACCATCTAATTCTCATATGACTGGTATTGTGATTACGATGTCTTGCCACGTTCAGTGACGACACCGTGGCATTTTTACTTCAACGTTATTTCATTGTGTTTCTGTCACGGTTGAATGAATTCTTATCGATACTATGAGAGTGGTTAGTTCAAGTGGATGACCTTGGCGGCCAGTAGTCAGCAGCACGAAAAGCAAAGATAATGTTTCATGCTTTGTTCCCTCTTCATTTAGAAGACAGCAAAGAAAGAAACCCGAAATGCCTTCAAGTTGATTTCATTGACAACAGTTTAGTTTTGGATTCGCTGGTTCGTTTTGTTTATTTATTATGAATATAATTTGCGCGAGAAATTTTTAAATTTCTTACAAAAGGTAAAAAGTTTTACATGCAAGTACTGTGTAGACAAGCAATTTAATTCATGTACAAGAGATCTGATAGTATAAACATATCGTTCCACAATTGCGTCGTAAGAGCGAAAGTTTCTTTTTGCGTGTTGCTATTAAACACACACTGACTATTCCCAGGGACCCCATGCACCACCGTGTTTTGACGGGATACTTCTCGGATCAGGGCCGGGAAACCTGACAGGTACGGCGGTCTTATAGTATGCTGCCAACTTCGTTAGCAGTTCCTTGACCTTGACTGGCTGGAAATCTGACAAATCGAATTTCTCGTTGGGATCGTCTTTGATGTTGAATAGCCACAGATGCTTTCCAGGTTTGTCAGAAGGAATGATTGGTTTCTGACCTGATTCAGGTGGTGGGATCCAACTTCCGCTTCCTATAGAGGAGAACACTCAATTACAAATTGATTCAATGGCTAGCTTCAATGCACAACAGTACAGTACAGCAAATGAGTTTTTTTTTTGGATGATTGTAAAATATTTATTTTACTAAGAATTCGTAGGAAAATCATAAATTCCATAATAATCCCTAAATAATTTATATAAATCATGTGTAAAGTATCACGTCCTGCAAATATGTGAAAACCCGCGGCCGTAAAGCCTAAATCATTCAGTAATTCAAAACACATCGAACTTCGCATCCCAGCTCATACACACACCACTAAGTAACCACCGTCATCACAACAAGCCCAGAGAATACTATGTTCTCTTTTTTCACAGATTTGGTCGACTCCTAACGCATGAAATGAATTTAACAACTTCAAATCTGAACACTGATAATTGAATTCACGATGAATAACATACAATATAAACCAAACCAGAATGGCTGTCGAAAGAAAATATAACCTCTTGGATTGATTTTGGATATCAATTGCTGAAGACAATAACTTCAATGAGCTAAACAGCCATTTGAAGAAATTAGTTCGAATTTTACCATGCGTTTATTTTTAAATATTAGAAATAAATCTTAGAAATATTGGTTCCGTGTACATATTTGTGATATAGCAGACCAGACAAATGTTTACCATTCTAGGTCATCTATAAAGCTCTACTGCCATGCAAGCTACAAATACGTTGTCATGGAAACTGCACCCAACACCTAATGCACATTTATGTGTTACCTGGATCTCCTGTGATTAATTTCCGAATCTCCAACTCTGATGGCGCTTCTCATTGATGTATTGAACAAGTCATCTTGCCAACTAGTGATGTTCGTCATGTCCTTTGGTGGAGGGAAAAGAGGGTCGATATTGTGTAGTAGTTCTGTTCTCGGCGACTCGCATCCTTTACTAATAAACAAAATGATGACAATAAAATGAGACATGGATGACATAAAGTGATGTAACGGGGCAGACTGTACATTTTTATCGACATATCGATAGTTTATTGATAATCAGGACACATAATACAACAAAGAATTTCGACAGAAATGAGTATTCCTCCCCAAACTAAACAATGCACCCTATTTAGATAGCCGATATAGCAGAGAATAATGTATGCGGCATTGAACATTATGACTAGACAGTAAAGAACATATCGGCATCATGTTGTTCTTAAAAAAAAATCGTATGCATTATGTAAATGCCACTTGAAAATAAAACAAGCAGCCTCTCGGCTGAGATAGCTCCGCTGTTAGCAATGCACATTTCAATTAAAGAACAGAAGATATCATTAGAAAATGAACAATATGCATAGTATCAATGCAATGGGACGTGCTGTTTTCAACAAGAATTCAAAAATATCATTTTTCACCATAAATGATTGTGGTTTTTAACAAGAAGAAAATATCACTTTTTACCAAAAATGACAGAAATATTCACCAAAATTAGATAATTAAAGATATCATTACAAAATGAACAAATCTGAGAGAGGTCCACATGTAGTACCTATATGTAATAATATCAAAGCAATTGGACTTGTCGTTTTTAACAAGAAGTCGAAAATATCACTTTTTACTAAAAGTGACAAAAATATTCACCAAAATTAGAGAATTAAAGATATCATTACAAAATGAACAAATCTGAGAGAGGTCCACATGTAGTAC